GTGCGTAGAGTTTCCGACCACGAACCGATGATTTAGAGTTCGAATCTGGGTTAGGTCAAACACTTTTTTATTTTATTTTCGTTTATATTCTGATAGTAAAGTATTCAATAATTCTGGTAATTAAAAAAAAACAAATATTTAATACTTTACTATTAGAATATAAACGAAAATAAAATAAAAAAGTCTTTGTCCTGACCCGGATTCGAACTCTGAATCATCGGTTCGTGGTCAGAAAAGGACTATTAAAAATATAAGATCTTCTTTCAAAGCGCAGTAGGGAACGCAACGTTTACCAGCAGCCAGACGGGCTCCATGCTGTTCTAGAAAGCAGAGTAAAAGATTGTTTTTCAGACGTTGCTAGTTCTCGTACTATAAAGACTGTTCAGCCATTGTTCCCCGTTACGTCATCATTATTCGTCAATTATGAGTAGGGTACGTTTGAGATCAGTTTCTATTGTTCAGAAAATTTTAAGTACGTTCCTTGATTGAGCGAGTTCCGTTTTTTCGGCATTTATTCATTTTTTTATTATTTTTTTTAGAACCCAACACTCCTGGAAAGTTTATCGTATGGTTTAGGAACGAAACAACTTTACTGGTTCTGTGGCAGCCTCCGTATCCGGCAGCTATATATACTCACTACAAAGTGTCTATCGATCCTCCCGATGCCAACGATTTTATTTTATACGTTGAAAAAGAGGGGGAACCACCAGGACCAGCACAGGCAGCTTTCAAAGGCTTGGTTCCAGGTAATGATGGACTTATTTTTTATTACCACAATTAAAAAATATATACACAATTTTAACTCGAAATTTAAGTATGATGTATGATAGCTGCAACTGCTTCTCTTAGCCAAAACTCCAATAATTAATAATTGCTGAGTAAAAATAATATATAAAAATAAAAAAATAAAATAATAAAATAATTATAAAATAATAATTATATTTCAGTTTCATATTTAATTGAAATATAATTATATTTCAATTACATTTTTTTCGTATTTAATTAAATATCAACTTTTTTTATTTGAAATGTTTTATTTCTGTAGCGTTTCCTAATCTATTTTAGGTCGAGCTTACAATATATCAGTTCAAACAATGTCCGAAGATGAAATTTCAACACCCACCACTGCTCAATACAGAACCGTACCTTTAAAACCTGGAAAAATTACTTTTGACAAAGACAAAATAACAACGAATTCGTTTGTTGTGCATTGGGAGCCACCTAGTGGTAAAAGGTGAGAATCATTTTAACATCTGTATTTAAGCTTTTCAGACACGATTGTCTCGCAACAGTAATAACACAGCTGCCGGTGTTGCCAAATGTCTGTGTCAAATGTGTTTTAGCGCCTCTCCTATTCAACATATTCATGGCAGCGCTCTCTATTATAGTTGACAGCAGACTGCAGGAAAAAGGAATGGACATTAGATACAGATATGACAGCGGTCTATTCAACATAAAAAGACTTAGGGCAAAAACACGTATAAAATTCATTAGATTACAGAACTTCAATACGCTGATGACTGCGTTCTAGTTATGTTATAGCAATTACAAAAAATGCTGTACACATATACCTGGGCATACGAGGCTTTGGGCCTTAAGCTGAAGATCAATAAAACCAAAATCATGTGTACTCCCCCGGAAAATCATAACAATGCTGTAAAAATCGGAGAACTATTGGAATATGTAGCGGAATTTAATTTACCTCGGCAGTTTGATTTCGGAGAAGGCCAATATCGACCCTGAAATTCAGCACAGAATTAGGAGCGCCTCAAGAGCATTCTGGAAATTAAATGACGGGGATTTTACAATCATGACTTGAGCACAAAAACGAAACTTGCAGTGTACAGAGCAATAATAATTTCCACAATGTTATATGAGAGCGAAACCTGGGTGCCCTGCCGCCGGCACATGAACTCATTAAAGTTGCAACAGAGATACCTTAGACAACTGTTAAGAATCAAATGGTATCATCATGTCTCAAACGTATTGGTCCTTGAAAAAGCTAGCTGCGAGAGCACTGAAATCTTGATTACTAAATCCCGCTTAAAATGGGCTCGTCACATATGCAGGATGCAAGAAAACCGCCTACCGAAATCTCTTCTTGACGGCGAGCTTGTAGACGGTAAGAGGAAACCGGGTGGACAACTCAAGAGATACAAGGATATTTTCCATAAAGGGGATAAGCATGCAGAATCAGTGGGAGGAATCAGCACACAACAGGACGCAATGGAGAAGCTGGAAACTCAGTTAAACGGTAATTTATTATTTAATTAATTACCTGTAAACTCAATTAACAACGACAACCAAAAAGTAAAGAGGCAACAAAGTAATGAGATTTTTGAATGTCCGGAGTGCGGAAGAGAGATAACATCGCGTATCGGGCTTTTGAGTCACAGAAATGCTCATGAAAGAAAACGCCTTGCGTAACCATCTTCTGATGCGTGCCGAATACTTGTCAGCGAGTAATGGCAATGATGAAGACAAGACAAGTTAAAATGACATAGCAAATGAAAGGCTAGGCTAACTTGGCAACACCGACAGCCGAGTAATTGCTGACGTAAGACGGTCATTTACAGACAGTGGCTTAGCTATATCCCCGCTAATCCATGAGGTTTCGGGGGTGCCCTCTGATATAGAGTGGTTAAAAAAGAGGTATTAGGACCAGGGGCTCCATGCTGAACGTTGAGGGGAAGCCCAAAATTTCTAGTTACTTCACTGCTTATTTCTACTCACGTAACATTACATGTATTGAAATAGAGTTGGAAACTTAGCCATCATAGAAAGATTATTCTAATAAAAATAACGTGCTATTTTTATTTCACAGCGAATTTGATAAATACCATATATCACTCGGAACCATTCGAAAATTACCGCCATACCATAGACTTCGAGATGAACCGACATTTTGGGAATTTAAGGATAACTTAGAGCCAGGGAAAACGTATTCTGTGGTAGTTAAAACTGTGTCTGGAAAGGTCACTTCCTGGCCTGTAACTGCAGACGTTACTTTAGGTAAAAAAAATAGTTTTTTAAATTTGTTGATGTTGGTAATTTTTGATAATTCTTGTTTAGAACCATTACCTGTGGGTCAGCTACAGTCCATGTTAGACGATAAAACTGGAACAATAAGTATATCGTGGAAACCAAATCCAGAAAGCACCCAAGATAGTTTCTTGGTTTCCTATCATGAAGTTGAAAGCACAATAGGTAAGAAATGCGATATTTCTTCTGGTTTTTACCTTCCTTTTTTAACTTTCGTTTTTTATCAACTAAATTTCATCTAGCTAATATATAAAATTCTCGTGTCACAGTTTAATTTTAAAAATAAAAACTTATATTAATATTATCTAAATTATTTTGATTGTCCTGGATAAAGTATAGTATTCTACTCGCATATAATGGCTGTTATTCACTTGGATGATATATATACCAAACTTCATCCGCGTGAATAACAGCCACCATTATATGCTCGTTGAATAATATACTATTATCCACGACTCGTCTATAATTTGATTATTATACATGAGTTTATGAAGTAATAATAATATTCATTATTAAAGTATAGTATTCCACTCGCATATAATGGCTGTTATTCACTTGGATGATATATATACCAAACTTCATCCGCGTAAATAACAGCCACCATTATATGCTCGTTGAATAATATACTATAATTATACAGGATCGAGCGATAATGCGTCGAACATTTATAGGTCCTATAAGTATTACAGGAAAATAGATTTACTTGTAATGGGTGTCACTAATATAAGTGTGACTGGGGTTGAGGATGATTTTTTGTCAAATAGAATACCCTTATATTATTGCATTTCGGGTTTATTTTACATTTTTTTATTAAAATCATACAGCTTTAACTAAGACCATGTTATTAATTTCAGCTTTCAGATATTATCGTAAATATAGAAAGTGGTTAAGGTGGTGGGGTAAGTCCATATAAAGCGGGTTTTTTTTCGAATACCTGACGATTTTTTTTTCTTTTTAAAGTGAGATTTTTTATGTTATGTTCATGTTCTGTGTTTATTTGTCGTGATTTTTATGTGCCTTTTTGCATCTGAATTTCCATGAATTTCGTATCCAAATGAAATCCTTAATATCCATAAGAGAAGTGAGTGTCGTACTATTTTCTCATTTATGATCCTAAAGTCTGTTCAACGAGACTGAATATTTCGACAGACGACATCCAAAAAATCACAGGAAATATAATTTACGTGTGCATTAAAATGGCAGACACAAACTGTCACTGTCATTCTCTGTCATGTCATGTCATTGTCATTCTCTCGTTGGACAGTCTATAGTTTTTTCTCTAGCTTAAAACTTAAGATTTGAGAAATATTAAATTTGTCCACAATATAATATGTATGTATATTCCTCTGATACTGTTATCTAAACCGGCTACATATATTTTATGCTTGTGACTATTCGGACAATCTTATGATACTATGTCAAGTACTATATGATCGAAAAAAACGGCGTCGAGTTGGCTTGGATATGGCGATGGATCTCGATGACATTCCCCGTATAATTATACATAATAAATGAATATTTTTTATAAACTTTGTGATATATTTATCTAATATACAGGGTGAGTCTTAAATAAGTGCAAATATTTTTAGGATTAGTATATTTCGACTACAGAAACACGATTGTGAGTTTTTTTGTGATTTTTTTTAAATATTGTTATTTTTTGAAAAATTTTTTTTGAATATCAGTTTCTTGATAAAATTGCAACATAGGTAGTAGATTAAATTTACATGAAAGAAAATCTCGAAAATATTCAGTGGTGATCAAAATTTAAGCAATAAATATTTTTTTTTGGAAATTTTCAAATTAAAATAACTCAGTTATTTTGGACTTATCTGAAAAATGGTAAAGAGAAAATATGTTTCTTTTATCGAGATCTACCAGCCCTGAAAATATTTGCACTATTTAAGACTCAACCCTGTATGCTTTGAAGAGTTGAAAGGAGTGAACACATCTATGTATTACTTCTCAGTGCCTTCTCTTACCTCGTGATTGCTGGCTCTCTACACTAACATCTGTTATTTCGTTCCATTGTTATTTATGTTTTCGCCAATTATTAGGATTTATTTATATGAATAATCTCTCTTTCTAGGTGATAGCAATACAGTTATGACAAACCAGACAAAAATAGAACTAGAGGCCCTCTTCCCTGGAAGAAATTATTCTGTAGCCGTTCAAGCCGTGTCGAAGGAAATGAAATCGAAAGAAGAATCCATATATGTCGTTACTAGACCCAGTGCTCCTATAATTGAAGATTTGAAACCTATGGCAAGTATATTTTTGTTTTTGATTGTAGTAATAAAAAAGCGTTTATTCAAATGTCATATGTTGGAAACTGGGTTTCCATGGACTGGTTATTTTGCAAATGAAACAGAAAAATCAAGCAAGATTTTTTTAATTGGACTGTAAACGTCAATATTATATTAATGCTTATTTTTTAAAAAGTCATAACTTTGTAACGAGGAGATTTCGACAGAAGACATCCAAAAAATGACATAAAATACAATTTACGTGGGAATTAAAATGTCAGACTACAACTGTCACTGTCATGTAGGTATCCTTTCCTTGAACAGCCTTTAAATCATCATCATATCTAGTTTATTCAACCATTTCCAATTATGGTGTAGCCTCCCTTATATATGAAGGGTCCAGAGGAATGATTTGATAAGCGTATGTAGGAGAGTCCGCTTTAGCGGATCCTCGCCAAAGACTCCATGGCCAGTCATAGCTTGCGATGATATACTAGTCCGTATTTGCCTGGTCGCATTTTATCCAATCTTTGATGTTAGGTATGAAAGTCTTTGTCCACCTGCTATATGATTCCCATCGTGTCTGCCATCGCTGTAGTACAATGTTTATGGCCTGTCTCCGGAGGGAGGTTCCGTTTTTATATATTTGGTTAGTTTCCTCGATCAGTAGACTGATAGGAGGTATCTTAGCAAGACACAGTAGCGCTACTGTTGGAGATGTGCAGTATGCCGATGCAACCGTGAGTGCTAACCTGTTTACCCTGCAGTTTTCTTATGATGTTGGTCTTTTTAAAACTTTAAATATATAGTATTATTTTTAGGTGGATGGTCTAAATATTAGTTGGAAATCAGATGTCAATTCCAAACAGGATAAATACGAAATCGTTTGGATCAGAAACGACACCAACGATAGAGACTACATGACCATTTATAACAACAAAATAATACTTAGTAATTTGTATCCTGGAGCTGGTTATTTAGTCAAGATTTACGCCATATCCCACGAACTAAAGAGCGAGCCTCATGAGTATTTCCAACCAGTGTGTAAGTTTTTTTCTTTATTTAGTATAATTAAATATTTACATTGGCTTTTTTTAATTATTTACTTTACGGGATGGCCCAGAATACCGAAAAATCTATATAGCAGGTTTCTCACTTGAGATATTTGCTTCAATCATGTTTCTAAAATATGCTGGCAATGGTAGCGCAGTATGATTCAAAGATATTTTCAAATACCGAGTGGTTTTTGAAATATATCTATTTTTAAACGAAATTTCCTGTTTATATAAAGTTTTCTTAAAATTCAATAATTGAAAAATTTAACCGGAAGAACTGTATAATAGTGTCTTCTTCAAAACTCATGCTAGTAAAATTACATGTTATTTAATATACAGAGGGAGAATGAAAACTGAACGGGGATTTTCTTTTTCTTCACTATTTCAAATGGAACCCTCTGTATTTCTTATCATAAATTAACCGAGTTTTTGTTTCCTACCGAGAAATAAGAATATCCTACCGGGTGCTTTTATTTTTTCAGATCTTACAAACACGAGATTTGGTATGTTCGAATATGACATAAATTAGGATTGATTGATGTATTTAATTGTTTTTGGTCACTTCCTGTTTCACCGGAAATGACTACAACTTTTGATTTTTAAATAGCACCCTCGAATTTTTTTTATTTTATTCGATAGAAAATGACACTGTATATGTCAACTTTTGACATTTTCGCTTAAAAAAATCGTATTTTAAATTTCAATCTAGAGTGGCTGTGTTAAAAACACTAATTTTTAATCAAGAACCAGGGAGGGTGGCTCATTAGCATATTTGGAGAAAGTATTTTTGTATGAATACTTTGGTACCACACACTCGGTATTTCGAGTCAAATTGTCGTTATGAACCGCATGTTACAATTTCAAATAAACCATTATGCGAAAGTGTCAAAAGTTGATATATATGTCATTCTATTCAGAGTGTGTGAGTGTCATTTTCTATCGAATAAAGAAAAAAAATACCGAGAGTGCCATTTAAAAATCAAAAATTGTAGTCATTTCCGGTGAAACAGGAAGTGACCAAAAACAATTGAATACGTCAATCAATTTTAATTTATTTCATATACTAACATATCAAATCTCGTTTTTAATCTAAAAAAATAAGAAAGTTATAAAGGTGGGCCACTTTTGAGACGCATGCAGTATAAAATGACAAAAATATTTTTAAAATGTTCTTAGCTATTAACTGCATATTTTATTAAAAAAATTGAGTGAATATCTTAAAACAGAAATCTGATGTAGACCTTTTTCGAAACACTGTGTCACTCTGTATGTTATTATTGTACCCAATACTGGGATATGTTGATTTAAAAATATTACCACTAATTTTTATTTACGTATTTTACAGCTTAAGTCATAATAAATAAAGTAAACAATTTCTTTTAAGCTTTTTCGTTTATACCCCGCATATATAATTAAACATTTATTAACTAGAAGCAAACTTTTTATTTAACTAGTTAGGGAATAGTCTAAATAAACAACTTAATTCTATTTTAAGCAAAGATTTAATAATACATTACTACCATATATAATTTTTAAATTTTTTTTATTATGCTTAATTATATATTTGAACCGTGATAGATTGAAGGTGTGTTAAAAAGCGATTTAATAAATAAAACTTCTATGTAATTTTATTTTTAATTTAAACTGTCCACTAATTTATTTTAAATGTTATTTTTATAGTTCCTAAACCACCTAGAAATATGACCATAGAAAAAACGACGACAAACTCGGTTATTGTTCAGTGGCAAGCACCGTTGGATTCTCTTATTACTGAGTATTCTATCAGATATAAAACAGGCAGTGATAACCAGTGGGTTAGGTAAGCATATATTCATATTTACTGATCTAAACAGTTTTTTAAGATGAAATTGTAATAATAATTTTTTTTTGGGAAAACAAAATTTTTCTCAAAGTCTAGCACAAATAGTTAAGTATTCGTTTTAATATGTATTTTCTATCTAAAAATATTCCGATGCCAACACTCTTCATTTATTAATGAGAATATACAGGATGAGTCTTAAAAAAGTGCAAATATCTTTAGGGGTAGTATATTTCAACCCCAGAAACACGACTGAGGCTTTTTGCGCGAAAAAAAATAAAATTTGGAATTTTTTGAATTTTTTTGGAATTTCTTTTAGTTTTTTAGTGGTTCTCAAAATTTTAGCAAAAAATATTTTTTTTGGAAATTTTCGAAGTGAAATAACTCTGTTATCTTGGATTTATTTGAAAAACGGTAAAGAGAAAATATTATGTTTCTTTTATCGACTTTTTAAGACTTACCCTGTATAGTCTGTCCAACGAAAAGATGTATTACAGTGACAGTTGTGTCTGTCACTTTAATTCGCAGGTAAATTGTATTTTCTGTCATTTTTTGGATGTCGTCTGTCGAAATCTTCCCAGACTCGTCGGACAGACTTCAATAGTTTTATTAATATATACTGTGTGATATAGAAATTGCAACACTTAGTAAATGTAAATATATTTTATGAAGATTTTGGGAAGTAGTTAGGATAAATATAATATGTCTATAATAATATAACAGTATGGTTTATTATATGAATTTTACTGGCAAGTGTAATGTTACAGATTACCAGCTGTTCAAAATACTGAAGCAGAAGTAACGGACATGACTCCGGGAGAGAGGTACACCATTCAAGTTAACACTGTCAGCTATGGCTTAGAAAGTAACGAACCGCAGCAATTAAATCACACAGTAAGGTAAGCCAATAATAAGAAAAGGTGTAGAATTACTCCATATATTGCACAAATTCTTACCATAAAATTATTTTAATTTCTTTTAGTCATATCTATATATTTTTATAATAATACAATTATACACAGTCAGCAACGTCTAGCTTTGGGTGTCGATTTTCCTGTGTACAGAATAGTCAATGTGTTCAGTACAATAAGATGTACTGAACAAAGAGACAAGAACAAGTAGTTTCACAACCGCATGGAATAAAGCGCCTGATTAAGTAGTTAAATGTAATAAACACTTCGCATTTTTCTCTCTCCGACTTACAAGATCACCATAGCGATTTACTCCTAGACATGTAAATACTGACCCAAGAATCTCTGTTGCCGACACGGTTTAAAAAGGAAACTTCTGTTTGTACATTTTTTTCTTAAGATGTTTGATAAATATTAAAAAAAATTGGTCAAGTGCGAGTCGGACTCGCGCACGAAGGGTTCCGTACCATTCATTATCTATACAACATCAGACACTATATTATTATAAACTTTTTTTCGATTTAACTGACATTTTGAATGCGTGTATAAGTAATTTAAAAAAAATGAAGAAACACATTACTAAAAATTATATTAATCAATAATAAATATATAAAAAGTAAAAATAAATATATAAAAATTTAAAAAAAAACGATTAAAAAAAGTCGCCTTGAAACGTCATAGCAGCGTAAAGTCCTAACGCTTTAACCACACGGCCACTGAGGACTGGAAAGGTTCTATGTAAAATTCTTACTTAAAGATAATGTTTAGTGAAAGTACTTTTTATTTATAAACATTTATTTAATTCTGTTTTTAGTATTTGTTCTTATAGCGGCAACATAGATACATTATCTATAAAACTGTCTAGCTATAACGATTCATAAGATAGACCTTTGTGACAGATGGACGGACGGACAGCGCAGTCTTAGTAATAGGGTTCCCGTTTTTAGCCTTTGGGTACGGAACCCTAAAAAAGATTAGAATTTGAAAATTTCTCAATGTAAATACGAAAATTTTATTTTCAGACCAAATCCAGTGTCAAATATTGCTCCACTAGTCGACTCCAATAATGTTACGTTAGAATGGCCTCGCCCCGAAGGAAGAGTAGAAACTTACATTGTGAGGTAAAGAATTCTTTAAAAAACCTGATGTTACTCAGATTTCTTGTTGAAAACGAAATATTTACAGATGGTGGGAAGCTACTACACCTTCTCAGGTTAACAAGAGCACAGTGAGTCAAAATCAAAATGGTACAGGACTTGTTAGATTACTGGTTGGAGATTTGATGCCAGGGGAAGAGTATGTTTTTGACATACAGGCAATATCCAATGATCTGGAAAGCGATGTTACCGTTTTAAGGACGAGAACTAGTAAGTATATGTTTAGTATTGGTTTTATTTTGAAGTAGCTTAAAAATTAATTTGGACTCATCAGTTTCGCAATAACCTTACGATCGAAAGAAAAATCGGTGTCACAGTGCCCTTTAAAATGATAATTAGTGAATTTATGACAGGAAAATACAATGTTCGTCGCAATACCCTCTAAATAGATAATAATCGGTAATAATTCCTTTCGGACCGATCTGCGACTCTATAGTATATCCTCGGATTGTTATTCATAGAATTTTAATTACCATCATATTTTTTGCTGTTTTAAAATGTTAAAGAAGCACAAAATTTATTTAGTTCATTGCTACGGAAAGGGTGATAATAGTTATCGGAAAATATGATGCTTTAACAACAGCAAAAAATATGACGTTAATCAAAATTGGTAATAACGGTAATACATACATACATACATACTGCCATTACTCGCTGACGAGTATTTGACACGCATCAGAAGATAGTCACGCAAGGCGTTTTCTTTCATGAGCCTTTCTGTGACTGAAAAGCCCAATACGTGATGTTATTTGTCTACCGCACTCCAGACATTCAAAAATCTCATTGCTTTGTTGCCTCTTAACTTTTTGGTTCTCGCTGTTAACTGAGTTTACAATTCTTCTCCATTGAGTTCTATTGTGATATGTGTTCTATCTAATAACGGTAATAACCATCTATTAAAGAATTAAATCGAAATGATATTACCATAGAATTTATTTTAAGAACTTTGAAAAAATTCAATCGTATTTCCATGTTTTTTTATTTTCTCTAAAACGGTATGGAAACTTGAAAAGGTCTAAACGGGATTAACCATTTTAGAACAAGCAAAAAATTTGATGAAGAATGCATTTTTCTCAAAATGTCAATAATAAAAAAAATCCGCTCGTAAACGCAGTGCGGGGCATACTGTATTATAAAAATTTAGCATAGAAAATTAATATTTTAATGGAAAAGTGTAAAAATCTTTCTTGATAATAGATTTGTATTTGGAAACTTTTGAGAATATTCTATAACAAATATTTTGACAATTTTTTTAACGTTTAATATACAACATACCGGGTGCGTTTAAAAAGTGGCTCACCCCTATAACTTTCTTATTTTTTCGGATAAAAAAACGAGATTTGGTATGTTAATATATGACATAAATTAGGGCTGATTGGCGTATTCAATTGGTTTTGGCCACTTCCTGTTTCAACGGAAATGACTACAACTTTTGATTTTTAAATAGCACCCACGGTATTTTTTTACTTTATTCGATAGAAAATACTATTCTGAATAGAATGACATATCATATGTCAACTTTTTCTATTCTCGCTTAATAAAAAATCAATCTAGAGTGCCATGGCTATGTTAAAAACGCGAATTCTTAATCAAGGAGCCTTGGAAAAATAGATTTGATCGTATAATGTTTTTAATGTCTTGTCCTGGCCAGAAAATGCTCAAATCGTATTTTTAATCATATCTCAATTTTTTCAAATGGAATGATGGTGGCTCATTAGCATATTTGGAAAAAGCATTTTTTTACGAATAATTTGATACCACACACTTGGTATTTCAGGTCAAATTTTCGTTACGAACTGCAAGTTATAATTTCAAATAAACCATATGCGAAAATGTCAAAACTTGACATATGATATGTCATTTTATTCGAGTGTTATTTTCTATCGAATAAAGTAAAAAAATACCGAGGGTGCCATTTAAAAATCAAATGTTGTAGTCATTTCCGGTGAAAGAGGAAGTGACCGAAAACAATTGAATACGTCAATCATTCCTAATTTATGTCATATACTAACATACCAAATCTCGTTTTTTTATCCAAAAAAGTTATAGGGGTGAACCACTTTTGAGACGCACCCGGTATATGTGAACTGTCCTTGATTGATTGGTTATTATTTCAAACGCTATCCAGTGGGACACGGTGTTTTTTGAAGTCATACGCTATCTGTAGACTTCATATGACTAAAGTCTATCCAACTTGAGATTTTATTTTTATTCGCCCCTTTTATTCTTCCAACCTACTTCTTAATTTTGAATGCCATCTACGCATATAGTTGGCACACCTTTAAAAATGTATTTAAATTAGTCTGTATAAATAATTTATCTATATTAAAAAAACAAGCTAAAAATTAATTACTTTTACTTTGGAGAAATATACGACAATTTGGCAACACGGTGTATCATATAAATAACAAGTGAATCATAAAAAATATGCATTTTTTTCTAATTACACTTGCCGTATATTTTAAGTTATTCTTTTGTTTGTGTTGTATTATTCTCCTAAACTACTAGTTTGTTTTTCTTTGTTATTTTAGTGCCTCTCATACAATCCGAAGTCGTGGTAGTGAACAATCACCAGTCTACGGATTCTATAAGTTTAAGATATACTCCCACGCCACAAACTTCTTCAAAATTCGACTTATACAGGTTTTCTTTATCTGAGACTAATATTCCCGATCAGGAAAAAGCAGCCAATGATTCAGAGAGATTAGTAACGTTTACTGGTTTAATCCCAGGCAGGTAAGTGAAATATTATACTCCCTCGTCCTAAATTAGTTGCCACATTTGTATACTTCTAGTTGGAATAGAGATACATAATATTTTATTTTATATCTATACAGGGCGTCAAGAAAATAGTGTAAAAAATGTCTATACCTATGTGGCGGATTCGTCTCTCCAAAAAAATCCTTTATGGGTATTTCGCCACTGCACTGGAAGAAAGTCTACAAAATAAAATAGTTATTTTTTGTAAACACTTCTGGCGTTAAACCTAAACGGACACAGCTTGTCAGAAGTTATGTTTACAGTTATACAAATTTGCTTAACAAAGAAAAAAATGCTTATCGTTTCGGAAAGGTTATCTCTTTCCGTCGTCGGAAGCAAAAAAAAATACAAAGAAAGAAGAAAAAAACTATTTAAAATATTTAAATTCAACTATTCGAGAACACTTTAATGTTTTAAAACAGATACGTATACAAGGAACAGTTGACGTTCTGTTAAAGTGACATTATATCAAGTTAAACTTCAAAATTAACAATTACTACCTGATAACAATTACTTAATAAGGTAAAACCAAAAAACCCAAACTTTCTGTATGATTATTTTTAAATTTTAAGTATGTTATGTTTATTTATGTTATGTTCTTTAAAATCAAAGAAGCGATTGCCATACATTACTGACATCTACAGAAAATAATAATAGAATAGTTGAATTTAAATATTTTAAATAGTTTTTTTCTTCTTTCTTTGTATTTTTTTGCTTCCGACGACGGAAAGAGAGAAACTTTCCGAAACGTTAAGCATTTTTTTCT